CCCGGGGCCCCGGGAAGCCGCAGCATGGCCCCCCTCCGGCTCCTACATGCTCCAATGGGAGCTGCAGGGGCGGCGCCTGCCATGTCACAGGATACTGGAATCCATCTTAAACCTGATGCTTTTCCATTCAGAAGGAGGGGTGAGGACCCAGAGAGACAAAAGATTCCTGCCTTGGGCCAAAGCCATAAAGGGTGTGGAACAGAACAAAGGAGGCTGCCAGACATGAGAAATTCTCGAGTTACACCTGAGCTGGAACTAACAAGAACTGTACCAGGGGAAAGGATTGGGCCCAGACTAAGGAGGAGTATAGTCTGTGAAAGAAGCTTATTGGAACATCTCTGGGAGTGAGATATTTCCTGTATCAGTTTCTTAATATATTAGGCTTAGACTTCTTGTTTTGTTTTATTTTGCTTGGTAACTTACTTTGTTCTGGCTGTTATTACTTGAAACCACTTAAATCTTATTTTATTAAGTATAAAAAGTAACTGTTTATTAATAAACCCAGAGTAAGTGATTAATACCTGGGGGAGCAAACAGCTGTGGAGATCTATCAGTGTTATAGAGGCGGACAATTTATGAGTTTACCCTGTATAAGCTTTATACAGAGTAAAATGGATTTATTTGGGGTTTGGATCCCATTGGGAACTGGGTGTCTGGGTGCTGGAGATGGGTGACTTGCTGAGCAGTTTTTGGTTAAAATCTGCAGCTTTGGGGGCGTGGACCAGATCTGGGTCTGCGTTGCAGCAGTCTAGCATGTCTGGCTCAACAAGGCAAGGTTCTGGAGTCCCAAGCTGGCAGTGGAAAATGGGCTCAGAAGTAATTCCAGCATGTCAGCTGATAGCCTCAAGGGGGTCTCTGCAACCGAACCCATCACACAAGGTACACCTATGCCTGAAGCCCCTGCATTGGAAGGGAATTGATTAAGACAGATACTCCCTTAGGCTCCATGCAAGAGTCCTTCTTGGACATACTCAGCAGCCAAGAGTATTGAAAGGTTTAAAAATGGTCTATGTTCACAGAGCAATTTCATGATGACAACACAGTACTGAGCTCCTGAAATTTGCTACCCACTCTATAAGTGTGCAAGTGAAGGCAAGCACACCTGTCACTGCAACAGAAGAGCTGCCCAATTCCTTTGTTCATCCCTGCACTGAACAGCCCTTAAGGGCTCGTGAAATTCAAGCAAATTATACTATTTGTACATCTCAACAACTTCAATATAGCAGAAAATATCACCGCCCTGCCCAAATAAATGCCCAGGGAAAACACATCTGCATTTTTCAAAGCAGTCCCACTACAGGCACTCATGGTCTGTCTACTTACAGACAAACACTGGCATTGGGGGACAGCATATAGACGTTGTTTTCACACAGTGGATAGACAATAATTGCTTTTCCCCAGTAAACCAGATGTGCAGCAAGCTGGAAAACCTGCATTTAAAAAAAAAAAAAAAAAAAAAGAAGAAAGAAACAAGACCAAAGATCATTATTAGAAAAGCAAAACAGCAACATTCAAACTCCCAGCAAAGAGTACTTTATGCTGAGAGGAAAGCCTTGTTTGATCTGAAGAAAGCTAGCACTGTGCCATCACATCACTTCAATGGCAATAATTGGTCCTCTTCTCTTAGAAGAAAATGATGTAACATGTGGCACATCAAAAAGAGTCTGACAAAGCTTCAACAGAAGTGACGCATTTCCAGGGCTTGGCTTCACATATCGAAGCAAATTTTATGTTTCCTGCTTCAAAGGAATTTCTTTAGACTGTGCCAGTAAAGGGTTTTACAACCGAGTAGTTTCCTTTATGCTTCACCCATCAATGGTTTACACATGCATTCCACACACACACTACTCAAAATACATTTAATGCATGACTTATATTTTATTTTGAATGTATATGAATGAAATATTACTGAATAATAATGGGCTCACATCATATTAATGCATTAATTAAAAAGCAAAGTGGCACAGAAATACTGGTCAGCTCAGAAACTTTGCAGTTGTTATGAAAGTGACCATCAGTAATCCATTCTTTGTTTAAACCATATATCCCTGTGTGTAAGCATTCACCATAAGATACCACAGAAAAATCTAAGCGTTAAGAAGGGGCTTTAAAGCAACAGCAATCAAGATTTCAAAGATTTTCATTTTAATGGGGTCGCCAGGGCTGGCTTAGACTTGCTGAGGCCCAGGGCCAAAGCCTGAGCCCCACCACCCTGGGTCAGGGCCAAAGCCCGAGGGCTTCCTCCCTGGGTGGCGGGGCTTAAGTTACAAGCTCCCTGCCTGGGGCTGAAGCCCTTGGGCTTCGGCTTTGGCCCCCCTGCCCAGGCCATTGGGGCTTGGGGTTTGGACCCTCCCCCTTCCCACCCCCACCTCCGGAGCAGCAGAGCTAGGGCGGGCTCATGCTTCAGTCCCTTTGTTGTCAGAAGGGGATCACAGTGCAATGAAGTTTGAGAACTCTTGGCCTAACGCAATGACCTGAAGAATAAGGAAGATCCTAAAGCTTCGGACAGCAGATAGACACTTTTCATTCTTCGCTCATTTTTGCAAAGACAAAATACCAGATGAATCACTGAACCAGGACCAAACTTAGGAAAGCAACATCCATTAGATTTCTGAATTTTGGCCTTCAATATATTAATATACATCCAATAAACCACATGGTTGAAAGAGAACAAGCATTGAGAAAAAGCTGCAGAGTTAGGGCCAGGTTTTCATAGGAACTCGGAACCCAGGAGCTCCCACTATTTCCAGGGACAGCTGCAAGGTGTTGAGCACTTTTGAGAAAACAGTCAGAAAAATATAACTTGTTTTTCTCTTTTCTTCCCTGACAGTCATGTCTAACTCCATAGGCCATTTCCCCTGCATTTGCAGAAGAGTACTTAGCATTGATTTCCTTCACTATAATTCTATAGTTTACTGAAGCAGTAGTGTCATTAATGCTTACTACTCACCACTGAGGCAGAAACAAGATTCTCTCCATCAGTTTTACAGTTTCCAGTCATGTCTTCTATTTTAAGTTATCATCATTTGTTCTGGGATCATTGAAATTTTTACATACATTTGAAAAACAAAGGAATGCCTGTGGGTCCTGGCTGTTAACTCCTGTCCACAGATCATAATTTAAAGATTGGCGAGGGTGAGCATAGAACTTTGTGGGGCTACTATGCATATCTCCAGAGTGGAAACAGATCAGAAGTTTGCGGCCATAACAAACTTAAAGTGTACAGAATTAGCCTGTGAGAGATGCAGTCACACAGCCATATAAATACAGTTGTATTCAAGACAACAGAATCATAACCAGAGAAGGAAGAAGAGCATAAAGACCTAATGGGCTTCATGGAGTTGTGTTATACCAATCTAATGTGAGAGATGCTCCAAAAATACATTACACAACAGAACCAAGTCCTACGATAAGTAGAACTCTATTAGTGTTGAATGAAACAAAAAGAAAAAGCCCAGGTAGCCTTTTTATGGGCTATCGTCTGCTCCAGATAAAACTGTGGAGAAGGGCATCACTGTCATGGGAATACAGGCATGAGGAAAGTGTTACCAGGATTAGTAAAGTGGAAATTTGACAAATTCAGAAGGAGAGCACACTTGTAGCACCTCCTTATCTGATGAATTTGGAGTAAAGTATCAGTCACTGGAGCCTGAAGCTTGTATGTTCTAAGCTGAAGCTACCACTATCAGGAAAGTGGCCTACGTAAGAAACCTGAGCTCATATGTATCCAGCAGCTCAACAAAGGAGCTACTATCAGCTAAGCAAGGGCCATATCAAATTTCCACAACAAAAAAAATGGCTTTTTAATGGAAGTTTTTGAAAACAAGCTCCATATGAACTCGATGGCAACAAACTGCAAGGTAACTGATCAAAAACATATTAATTTCCACACTAAAAACTTTAAGGGGAAGTTAAGGTAGCACTAACCAAACAGCTAGAAGGTGGAGGGGACACATTAACATGTCTTAGGCTTGGTCTACACTACCCCCCCTAATTCGAACTAAGGTACGCAACTTCAGCTACGTGAATAACGTAGCTGAAGTTCGAAGTACCTTATTTCGAATTAGTTGAAACTTACCTTGGTCCACACTCGGCACAGACGCAAGAT